GAAAGGACATAAGTGACTGACATTTATTTGACTGAAAACTTAAAGTAATCACCGTAACCTACCTCTGTTGGTGAAAATCATCACTAAACTGCACTGCTTTTTAGCAGCTGATGGATTTTTGATGATTTTTAATGTGATCATTTTTAAGTATCCAAATGTTTTTATAATTTATATATCTGGAACATGCAGTTGTAATTGATAACAAAAAACCTGTCAAACTGGTATATTAAATTATTTAAAGAATTATGATGGCATGAAAGTTATATTGCATCAAATTGAGGGGGGGGTTGAAGGAAAAGCAACAAAAAAAAAATCATCATCATCACCCTCATGATTGCACAGCAGTCCAGTAGGTGGAGACATGCATGTGTGTTACCCAATACATTTAAACTAACGAAGAAGAAGAAGGAGAACCGGAAGTAGAAGGGGCCCAGTAAAGATGTCTCCGCCGTCTCTCTTCGACTTCACTGAAGCCAGAGATATATTTACGGTGAATTATAATTAGAAACATTTACCGATAGACGGTTTTAAAAAGAAAGTGTTTTGTTTCTATCTCTTGCCTGCCAAGTCTCTCCTCCAAAGTAGTAGATATTATCATAATATATATGATTTATCATACATTAGACCTATTGGACTAGACATTTGTGTAAAGCAATTTGTTAGTGAATGCTTTAAAGTAGATGATGGTGTTTGAGGAGGGCCTAATGTGGTACTGTGCATGGTAATACCAATGAGAAACATAGTATTACTATGCTACATGAACCAAAATCATATATTTTTACTGTACTTTGGTGTTTCTGTGTCTGGAAACCACGTGATATCATGCTACATTTAGTGTTTTTGTCATAAATACTATAACCACTTTATTCAACTTATGTCAAACTATTTGTTTCTTTCCTCCCAGGCTGCCGCTAAAAGTGCTGTAGATATCAGGAGCTGCAAACCCCTGACCAACGCTTTCAGCCAGCTGCCTGGAAAGTAATAATTGCTCTTTAGCAAGATTTTCAATTGTTTGTTTATATATGCGTGAACCCATCACTGTTGAGATGTTATGTGTGATTTCAATTCATTCATCACAGTGAAACTGAGAAGAAAGCCACTCTTGATCAAGCCCTGCGTGGAGTTCTTGAAGAGCAGATTGTGAGTCCACAGCAGCTTCTTTGTGCTCCAGAATACTGGCATACTTGCGTTTATTTTGCATACGAGTTATCATTGTGTATGGTGATGATTTAATGTTGTTTTGCAGGTGAAGCAGAAGGTGGACGTTGGAGATTTCCTTTCTCTGATCTACATCAGTGTAGACGGTGTGACTGAAGGTACGCGGGAACTACCACTCTTCTACACAAACATTAAAGTATAAAAAATGCTCATTTTCAGCTCATCAGTCGTTTTGCATTGGTTTATTGTTTTCGGAAAGGCATCTGCTCTGCTACCGCTCCTTTTCTTCTGCTGGGAGATGTTCTCGACTGCCTTCCTCTGGACCAGTGCGACAAAATCTTCTCCTTTGTTGAAGAAAATGTGTCTACATGGAAGTCTGTACGTTTGGACCTTTT